TCCCCACCCAAACACCAAGGAAGAGACTACAGTGCTTGAACATGGCAAAGCTTCTCCCATAAAAAAGGTCGATCATTATCAACAACCGGTCAATAGACCCAAGTAAAGGCCCATCTGAAATTGTCCTCTTCCAACTTAAACTTGCAAGACACAGAAAATCTCTCCACCCACACATTCATCCTAGACAACCATCTACAATCCCACATAGCTAAAATTCCACCCGAAGTACCTATAGCATTCAAGGCCTCCCATTCCACAAACCTTCCTCCCCACAAACTCCTAACCTCCCCATCAAAAATGGATACCAACTTGGTTTCTTGCAAACAAACAACCTGGGCCCCCCACTTCCTTAAAGCTACCTTTACCACCCTCCTTTTATTCGAGTCGCTAAGACCACAAACATTCTAAGTAATAATTAATAACTTCATTAAAAACCAGATAAAATAATCTCCCCTCCTCCTTTCCTCAAACTCCTACTCCTAGTCCTTCCCCTCTCCCTCACCACCCCTCTCTTCCCTTCATAATTGACGTCAAAGATAAGATTCTTGATCTCCTGTGCCCCTTTCCAGGATGATAAAGGCCTCGTGTTCATAACCTCATTGGTCACTGCAACCTCTCTTCCGTCCACAATTGATTTAAGAATGGATAATGTCTGGTCATTATAACCCTCTGAAGAGACACCCAACAATTCACTAGTGACTCCTATATTTTCGACTACCCAATACTTTCCCATATCGGCAGCCATTCCAAGAGAGCCAGGTCGCATAACAGCCAATGGTTCTACATCAGAACAGTCATTCTCTAGCCAAAGGGCAAGCTCATTAGAGCAAACCTGTTGGATAGAACCCAAATCATCAAAAACCTCATCTTCAATATCTCTGCCATTCACAAACATCATATCCGAATCTGTAACAAAACCTCCCATTCCATTACACACGGGTCTGGCAGGCTCGATCTCCTTAGCCCCTACAAATGGCAAGCAATTAAGACCTGACAATGCTACAAGCAAACGGAGCTTTTTGAGCAGAGCCGAGGCCTCGTCATTTGATAACTTAAAATGGAAATCTTTTCCCACGTAGACCTTGACCCCCTTAGGCTTATCCTTAACTGCACATTCTGCTGGGTCAACATACCCGGAAATAATAGACCCATAGACAGCCTTCCCTTCCTCATTCAAACCATACACAACTTCAGGTATCGAAGGCAAAACTGATAATTCACGACTCTTCTCCTTTGCCAACTCAACATCACTCCTCAAGACCCCGCCAGAGAGAGTAGAAGAAGAAGATTAAGCGTAGAAAGGGTTCCTGAAAGGATGGCCTAAAGAAATACCTGGAGCATTATTTGGAGAGGTACAAACCCACTTTTGTTTATCATTACGAGACCACCTGTGATCGTGTCGACCCTTATGAAAGCCCCTAGTTGAACTGAAGCTTTTAGTAGATGGTATACCAGAATCAGACGGAAAAGACTCTGCAGGATGACAACACGTATTGTGTCGGAAAACCCTCTCATTTGCGTTCAAACCATCAGCGCTTAACTACATCCATCTTCTCTTCTCCTTCGAAGACCATACTCTATTAAAAGAGTTACTATTGAGACGACGTTGTGGATAAATGGCTGAAGAAGACAGCGGTTGTGGGCTGGGCTTATCATTTAAGAGAGAGATGGATAAGTGGTTACTGGCCCCAGGAAACAGACCTCTTAAACTCCTTAGTAAGTTGTGGCCCATAACGTGTTAACAGCCTGTCATCCTGCCCATTAACCATAGGCGTAACAAACCCAGAACTCAAAGCAGGCCCAAACTTAAGCCTATCTAAAGCCTTGGCTTGAGAGGCGCCTGTGATGCCACGTATCCTACTACGTGGTTAGTGGCTAATTGGACGATCGATTTGAAAGGCGTTCTTTAAGGGCGTTATGTGCACTGCTCAGACATTTGCCCCCACTCGCGTCCAGCGCGTGGAAATACACTTGCCTCTGTCCTTGGGAGCTAAGGTGGATCCACAACTTCCGGTGGTACCTTCCTTTGTTCGTTTCTTCAGGCTTGAAATAGGAACTCTCACCAGCACCTTAGTAGGACTTCGGCATAATTCTAGGTGAGATTTCCTCCATTAAATTGACCTTAAAGGCCACCCACTGATCTTCAACAAAGATAAACTCCGGTACCTTGCCTCCGATGGAGACGTAAAGAAGAACTCTCTCACTCCCCACCATATCATCTGCCTCCACACCTCTAAATCCTCCACATAAATCACCTATGGCTTTGAATAAATTCTGACACCGAGATGAAGAGGCAGACCGTGAATCGCCACCCTTCTAATTTCTCGATTTTTCACTACAGAGCAACCCACTGCAAAGTACCAAATGTCGTTAGCTAATGAAGCATCTCCCCATCTCTTCTTCCCAAAATCCAAAACCCGTAGTGCCTTCACCTCCGATGGTAGCCTGAACAAGAGGAGACCTTCAGGTAGGGATGAAACCTTCACCCCACACGAAACCTTCCAAGCCTTCGTCGCCCATGTCTCGATCCCCTCAATACATCCCACTTCTCGATCAAAACGGCCAACTAAACAAGATTTCAGAACTATTTCTCGATCCATTATACTTTGATGATCAACCCTAAAAACCTTTTCTTTGCCGATTGAACAGCTTTTGACCTTGCCATGGAGATTGAGGCGTGGAGTGTCGCAACATCAAGATACGACCGTAACATAACACGAAACCCTTCCAAAATCCAAAACCGGAACAGAAAAATCAACATAAGCCGGAGTAGGATACTCCGGCGACAGAAAAGGGAGGAGAGAGAAGAGAGAAAAGTCAAAATAGTCAACTCTTGGTATTTTTCCATAGAGAGCATATAGTTTTTGAAAACAACAGTGTATTCATAATTTTCTTCCCATTCATCAATTGCAGTAAACTTGGTGAGCATGTACATGAAATGTTGACAATATTGTTGCAGTGCTGAATTGAAAAGTTCGACACCAACAACCACCTATTGGTAAAAGGTTGTGCTAGATGATTACGCTTTTGAAATCAAATTACAGGTTGGGGAAGTAGATCCGTGAGGAGCAAACTCTATTGACAAGAGGATCGCGTGCCTCAAGACTCGAGCAAAGTGTTTGGTGGAGCAATTTGTGTCAAGAGTTAATCATGAGTTCTATGGTCTGGGAACTTTATCCTAGCTGTAAACTTCTTTCTCATAGTGGATTTCATTTGCTTAAACTAGGTCCCATGATTTTTTGTCTGTTCGGTTTTCAATGTAAAAATCTGTGTCCATCTTTTATGCTTTACTGCTTTAGGGTACCATTACATGATTGATTATCATGATAATTTGAATAGCTTTTGATAATTAGTTACAATTTGAATTTAAGTATTTTTGTTTAAATTATATATTAGTTAAATCAGTCAACAACACCTATTCAAACCCCCTCTAGGTTTAGTTGATGGACCTTGAGCCACTCTACTTCAGCATCAAGGGTCTCGGTTCTTTCAACTATCAATTGGTACAAAAGCAGGTTACTACTGAAAGCTTGCATGAGAACTTTTCTTAAATCTATGGATGAAAAAGTCATTAGCTATTGAGATTAATTTGACTCACCCTACTAGGAATGCAGTTCCAAAGTCAAGTGTGGATTGGACTAAAGAACTTGCTGAGGCTAATTACAATTCTAGAGCATTAAATGCCATCTTTAATGCAGTTAATCCGACAGAGTTCGGTAGAATTGTTAATTGTTCTTCTGCTAAGGACGCTTAAGAAATCTTAAAGAAAGTACATGAAGGTACAAAGTACAAACCCTGTTTAAATCTCTAAAATTCAAATGTTAACCACTAAGAACAATCTTAAGATGGAAGAGAACAAAACTTTCGATGAATTTTATAATAGGATTAATGATATTGTGAATAGCAACTTTGTTTTAGGAGAGGCCATTCCCGAAAATAAAGCTGTAAGAAGGTGGGAGTGGGACAAGGGCTCTGTAACCCATCTAACTCCCCTTTTGCCCTCTCTCTATCTCAAACTTATATATGTATTCATATGTATATGATTACATACAAATATATATATATTTTTCCTAAGCATGTACATTTATATACACACACACATATAAATAGTAAATACAGCTCATACCTGCACCTCTTAAACTGCATTCACCGCTCATAAGAATTTATTTATGAAACCCTTTCATCTTAGTATTGATTACTGAGATATTGTAAAGTTGTTTCTTAGTAATGGTTTCCCATTAATCATTGAAAATAACAGAACTATGAGAAATGTTTAATTCCAGTTGCTCCATATTTTATATCATTTTTAGAAAGATTAGAAGTTTAAATAGGCCAATGCAGAAGTCGACATCAATTAAAGAGGCCATTCAACACTCGAGATGAGAGAAAATAACAATTAAATAGAAAAGAATAAATGGATAGTGTTCGGACTTGAGAAAATTTGGTTGCAATGACTTCTAGATTCTTTCCTTCTGGACAAAGACAGCCACTGGATGGCTATGCTTTAGTAAATTACCACCATTCACTTCAGCATTTCAGTATAGAAATGCAAAACAATATATATTAAGCATTTTGACTTCTTTCACAACCAACACCATCATACTAGTACTGTATCTCATTCAGCAAACACCAAAATCACTTCAGAAAAAATTCAAAGGGTCACGGTGGTAGGAGAAGCAATATGGACTACCCAAAATAAAGTACCCTTGCAAGCGAACTATCCAAAGGTCAAAGTTACTGACAGAAATTCAAATAAATGAATGCAAAACTTCCGGTCAGTATCATATATGACTCAATTTCGTGTCCAAGGAATTCAGACAACATGCTTTCACGGAAGATTCTATAATGGCAAAAAGACCATTTCTTTTTCCCTGGAAAAAGACCATTTCCAGGACTACCATTTTAAGTTCAACGAATCTGAACAGTGGACTCTTGGACCAGCAGTGGTAGCACATAAAAAGAAAGAATAATGGCAATGAGTTTTCGAGTGTTCGACTTACGAATCAAGCAACCGAAACCAGAGGGATTCTGACTCCTCAGGATCCAATCGGGGGGTATTCCGCTGACACATTCCAATACAGGCATGCAATATATCACGCACTTCACTCACCTGTAGAAGAAATAGCACAAATATAAAAAAAATTACAAGAAACATCTTTTCCAATACAAAGGGGGGAGTGAAGAGGTAGAGCTGCAAATGAACCGAGTTGTTCATGAAGAGCTCGGGCTCGGCTCTTTAAAACCTTGGCTCGGGCTCGTTCGTTAAGTAAACGAGCCAAGCTCGTGCTCATTTTTTAGGCTCGTTTAGTAAACGAGCTGAGCTTGAATAATGTTAAGCTCGGCTCGTGAACAAGCTCGTTTACATAAAACATTATAATATTTATATTATAGATTTAAAAGCCTAGCCCATTTATACAAGTTTGGCCCAAGTTCATATATATCTTTCATTGGCCCTATTAATAATTTAGTATTTGGAAGCCCATTTAATTCAGTAGCCCATTAGCCCAAGTCAAGGTTTCTTCTCAGTATTCAGATTAATTGATTAACATGTTAAAGAGTTAGTAAAAAATCCTAAAGCAAAGCCGCAAGTACCCAACAATCCCACTGGCCACTGCAACGACAATCCTTCAACTCCCACCGTCCTTTGACTCCCACAGTGCTTCGACTCCACCAGCGACAAAAATACCAGTTCATTTGCTCTCTCTCTCTCTCTCTTTCTAGCCTGATATTCCCTCTCTCTCTCTCTCATAATATTGTTGATGAATTGGTGATTGATGGTTGGAATTTGAAGTTAGCGAAGGAGATGTTGAAGATTAGAGAAAATCAATCAGTGAACTTGAAGTCAATTTGAAAGAGATGGCGTGGATTCTGTCTCCTAAAACGGATTGATCTCAATTCCATTTGATATATATATATATATATGTATGTATACATGAGCTCGAGCCGAACCCGAGTGCCTCTCTGATCTAGGCAAGCCGAGCCCGAACAACTTAAGGCTCGGCTCGGTTCGTTTGCAGCCCTAGTAAGAGGAGGGACATCTCTACAAACCTCTCTCTTTAAAATGGTGCTGAAATGCTCCATACCAGCATCACAAACTACATTTCCCACAGCAGTATCAAGCACGACGAATTTATCATTGAGGCCAGAAAGAGTAAGTACAAGAGCACTTCCAACATCACCAACCCTTTCCAATAAGAATGCTGCGGCATCAATGATCCCATATTCCTGGCACAAACGCAAACAGTGTTCCACCCTGTAGCTTTCAAAAGTCTCCAAGAATTTGAGAACTGAATTGCGCTCATGTTTACATAACAGCTGCAAAAGTAAAATGCAAAAAATTAAAATTAAAATCTGAGTGCGATCTCAAGTGAATAAGTGCTTCTGGATGGTTTTGCAATCATGATGTAGTAGTTAAGGTTAAAAACAGGGGGACCATAAACTATCCATGCTTTATTAGGTCAAGAAACAGCACGAACATTGATATGATCACCACCAAAGAGAGAGGCTGCTGAGATGATTAAGTGACAAGAATATATTAGGAATAGAGCATCCAAAAGAAGGTTGAGATAACATTGGTTGGAAAGAGCAACAAAGACCAGTTAATGATCCAATGAAAAACATAATGGTCAATGTTGATAATTCTACAAAGACAAAGAAGTGGGGTAAAATGAGGTCCCACTCAGACAAGTGATTAAAGCCTCTACAATGTCCAGACTCATCTTGGACCTAATTTCTTACAATTAAATCCCGCTCTCTGGGTTCTAAAAAAGATTGGGAAAAAATGCTATAGGAAAAGCAAGACTAATTTAGCAAGTAGGACAAAAGAATGGAACCCCTATTACAAAAGCAAGACTAAAAGGGAGTAATTTGAAGTTACACCCTTAATTACAGGAATGGTCCTCAAATGAGCAGAACAAAGAAACAAAATTCAAATTGAAGGGATAAAACATTGTTGAGGAGAGACAATAGCTAAAATTTAACCCAAAAATAAAGGAAATTATATAATCAAATAAAGAAAAACAAATACCATGTGACATTAGTGAACAAGCAGAACAAAGTTACACACACTGCCCACCATTCAATTGATAATAATATAAACAATTTGCAGAAATGTTTACCTCAAGATAAAGCTCTGTCATTTCATCAGTTAAATGAACAGGATTATTGTGAAGTATCTTCGGGAAATCAGATATCCTTCTAAAGTAAGCCTCAACTCTATCTGACCATCTTCCACCGGGAAAATAAACAATATGATCTTTTTTTAAGCATGAAAAGTTGAGAATGCCAGATAAATGAACCTCAACAACTGTCTTTAGATACAGAAAAAGGCTTTTTGGGTGAGAATGTAGTTCAGAAAAAATTTGTTGATTTTCTCCAGCAAAATGGTCAATAATCAAAAAGAATGCTCCCTCTCTGCAAATGATCAGAAAACATAAATTTCTTTAGAAAGAAGTAAGATTCAAATAAATAAATAAATTCCTACACAAAATTCAACATGTGAAACCAAGATCCATTATGGCACCATAATTATTCAAACATTACCTGCATAAGCAAACCAGATCTGGGATTTGAGAAATGACGGCTGATTGAAAAGCACCTAATTCAGGTTCATTCAGTAGTAGTAATGTATCATTGATGAAGGAAAACGCATGAACAGGTTCATCCACATCTTTCATATAGCTATCTAAAGCAGCAAGATACTGATGTCTGATGGCATGAATTAAGCCACAAACCTAAATATGAACACAATTTTAATGAATAAATAAATTAAATAAATGTGTGTGTGTGTGTAGAGAGAGAGAAAAAAAAATACAATGGTCCAAACACTAAACCATAGTCCTATGTTCCCTCAAGCATTGTATAAGACACATACTAAAGATACCTGATAAAATTGAGCTTTTTCACAAAGACGTAACACATAAGATGCATCCCAGTATCTTTCAGGAACTACTTCCAAAAGAGAAAGCACCTGCTTCTCTCTTCTTTTAGAAGTCTCAATATTCTGTCTTGGAACACTTGGTGGAAGATTAATCTCGGATGTGAAGTACTCAAAAATCTGACTCAGTATGTTGTTGGATATATTAGCTCTCTTACAGGAAACATTGTAGGCAATAAACTCAAATATATGACCTACATCATTCTTTGAAGGCCAATATTCCACTCCAATATTATCGCTGCTGGTAGACCAGTCCTTTAGGGAGTTGACTGTATCAAGAACATGAACAAGAGCATTTACTGTTCTTTGGACCAACAAGTTCAGACTTTCAGCTGTTGAACCATATTCTTTCTTATCCTCCACATTTGCATTGGGTGAATCATACAAAGAATGGTCAGATTTCAGTACTTCATCTTCTACAAATGCACATGTCAAAACATCTAAAGTAGCCTCAGTATCTAACTCTAAGAGATGATACAGGTTCAGGTATGCTCCTGCGGAGGATAAGCATGAAACCACCCATGAATTTGGGGAACTAGAATCCTCCAATAGAAACTGCACGAGCTCTATTCTAAGGGATGGCAACCGTGTAGGGGAAAGAGTTCCATGCCCTGCAAAATAGATGCTTTAATTCTCTGCCACTCTCTTAACCAGGAAAAAAAAAAGTAAAAAATTCTCTGCCACTCTCTCAATTCCATGATATTGAACTCCATCACATAGAGTCAAGATAAACGAGTCAAACAGCTTCAACCACACGTACAACAGAGAGATGCAAATTAGTTTTAAAAAACCAACATGCAAAACAAAACTTCTATAGTTTTATGATTCAGTGTCACATTTTTTATTTTTTATTTTTTATTTTTTGTGATGTATTTGTTTTGGTGGGGGAAGGAAATCCTTTGCTCTTTTTCTTCCACTTACTCTCCCTCTATTTGACAAGAGTCAAGAATACCATATGTATCAATAAAAAGACATTTTATAATGTTGTGCATAATCCAGAACCCTAGCTAAACTATTGCTTCTCAAACTCATATTATAAAGACAGGCAGGGTAGTTTTGAAAACATTAAGCGCCACAACAGAAGGACTTCGAGCTTAGTTGTCCTTTGGAGTTGAAGATAAAGAAAGAAAATCATAGAGAAAATTTGCAGGAGAAACAAAATTAAAGCCGTTATCAAACACAAATTGTTACAAAATGAATGATTAAAAAAGATGGAGATTAGTATAAGAGGATGAATTTTCTTTAACATTACCATCCGCGTCAAGTGAGCAGATAGTTTTTTTCTATTTCAGGTATTCATCAAGAAAACCCCTTGCTAGTTCAATTTGGTCACTAAAAGTCTTAGTAGGCTGATTACTGGAGAAGTGCCAAGCTGCAAAGAGGGCAACTTGCATGTAAGGATGTTCTTTCTAAGAGGGAGAATGAAGCAAAAATATTTATATGAATATACAACAGAAGCTTTAGGTGTTTTAAGTCTTTTAGAGACTATCATATACTAAGTTATGTTCTTGTAGTGTTAGTGAAATGTCTTGTATTGCCTTCACCTAGAAGCTTTAGGGTTATAAAAGGTAAGACATGCTGTCTTTGGAACTTGGCCTGTACTTCGACCCCAGTAATGGTTTTGAGGCATTGTGAACATTATTAAGTTTGAGGAATCAACCCCGCGAGACTTTTCGATTTATCTATCTCTGACCTGCGTTTCCTTTAAGAGGGCCAATATTTTGCTGCTGATCTGCCTCACAGTCAAGCTTTGGGAAGTTTTCAATCTAATTTTTGTTCCTTATATCTAAAGAAACACAAGATATTTGTTAAGGGTAGGACCATTGCCCAAGACTATGGTATGTCCGAGTATGCCGTGTCTCAATTAGACCATGAGGGGTTAAATAGGTCAGAGCAAGCTTTGATAATTTTATGTCAATTCCAATTTTACCCAATATTAATTAATTAATTAATTATGTTATGTGAATAATCATTTAATAAATTAAACCATCTAAACCAAAGAAGCGAATCAGAGACAGAAATTTAAGTGGAAAAGCCCAAAGAAAAAAATCAAGTGACATTGCAAGAAGCAAATAATTCACTATAATAGAGAGTACAATCCTAGGTCCAGACTCTTACCCCTAATAATCACCTATGTTGAATTACCTCTGATTAATGGTTCAAAGTCACGGGTTTGGACAAGGTCGTATCGGGCATACCATAACTGAATCGGGTGCCACAGTCCAGACTCTTACCCCTAATAATCACCTATGTTGAATTACCTCTGATTAATGGTTCAAAGTCACGGATTTGGACAAGGGGTCGGATCGGCATACCGTAACGGAATAGGGCGCCACAGTTGTGATTTTTCTTTAACCTCGCACTATGTTACCCGGACTCGGGTATGGGTGTCGGACACGGGTACGTGTCCAGAGGTCGGATCCATCTATGTATTAAATTATAGGACACGGGGACACAGAATAAAAGTTTCCAAAACTTAGACACAGGTACTTGGACACTTCATATAAATATAGAAGTATGAAGTAATTACAACTGGATTCAGCTTGGGCCGAAAGCCCCCAACATCATAGAGAAAACATTGCATAGGCACAAAGGCAGGACCACAAAAAAAGCCCAACCAACGTATTTGTGTATGGTCAGTGACGTAATTCACATATAATATTATAATGAGGTTTTTATTTTTATAATGATGATCCAGCCTATTTTGGTAAAAGCCCAGCCCAACGTATTTCTTTTTGGTAAAGTTGGCATTGGGCTTCATTAATAGCCCAAAAGACTGACCACCATGCATCAGCTGGCTGTCTTTTCTTTTTATTTGAGGAACCGAATGCACCAGCTTTCTTTCTTTTTTTGTCCTTTTCTTTTTGCTTCTTGGTAAAGTGGGTAATGGGGACCACTTGCAACAACTGTCTGGCCAAAGCTTTTCACATTGTTTCACGTGGGTTCAAGCAAAACTGTCAGCTATATATTTATCAGCTTTCTTTCTTTTTTTGTCCTTTTCTTTTTGGTAAAGGGGGTAATGGGGACCACTTGCAGCAGCTGTCTAGCCAAAGTTTCACATTGTTTCACGTGGGTTCAAGCAAAACTATCAGCTATATATTTATAAGAATAAAAAGTCAAGGCACGATAGACAAAAAAATGTCTCTTCTTTTCACAACTTCTCCTTCAACCTTTCGTAACCCTATTTTGAAATCGAAGACCAGAGAGCTTCATCCTATTTTCAAATCAAAGACTATCAGAGAGCTTCATCGCCAGCTAATCAGCCGTGTCCAATTCAAAAACAAAGTGTCCGACCCGTATCCCGTGTCCGTGTCCGTGGCGGCGTCGTGTCGTGTCGTGTCGTGTCGTGTCGACACAGACACCCTCACCTGAGCCGGAGAGTCCACGTAACACAGACCTCGCATATAAGCCCCGAAACACATTGATGTGCAAATTTCTAATACATAATCCAATAAATATGAGTTTTTATGAAATAGTTGATTTTTTGGCCTCTTTAAAAGTGTAAGGGCTGTTTTGGCCTATTTTTGTTCCCTTGGGATGCGCTCCCCCTTTTGAGCGCTTTTTATAAATTTCTTACTTATCAAAAAAAAAATATGAGTTTTTATGAATTTTGTTAAATTTATACATACATTTTTTTTGAGAAGTGAATTTTGTTAAATTTATAAAGATGATTTAATACAAGTAATGACATATATATGAATTTTAAGTCACGGTTCACAGTAAAGACTTGATAATTTAGACTTGTTACTAAATTACTGAGCACCAATAGACTTTAACACGAAATAAAAAAGAAATTACCACGTAAAACACAAGAAAACATTATACAACAACATAGTATCAATTGAGCAGGGGGGCTTAGAACAATACTTGGAGTAACATGGAGGAAACCAAAAAATAAAAAATTGAAAACACGCCTATGAAATCTCTTGCTTGGGCCTTTGTGGTGTATTTGATTGCTAAATCTCATTGATTTTGATGTTTGAGGTCTGAATTTAAGTTGTGAGTTTTAGTAAGAGTAGTGCTAGTACAGTAAGAAAAAGGGAGTGAAAATGGTGTAAAATGAGTTGAGCCTTCATTTTATATCATCACAATTGATTCCAAAATTGAGTGAGCTCACTCAACCGAGTTAACCGGAGTTGCTCCGATTCCTTTCCGAGTCACGAGAAAGTTTTGAGTCTTCCCGCTATACGTCTGACTCGGATCTTTGAAGACTGATTCCGATGCGACTTGGTCAAGTCCACAAACCATGCTCTGATCCATACTCACACCAGACATTCCACCAATCTCTGCTACTATTAATCAATACATTTGTTCACTATTGCAATACACTCTTCTCATAGTGATTGCCTATTGTCTCATGAACCAACTGTTCTTTTTATAGATGGTTGCTGTGGTTGATGAACTTCAAGTATTCGACAAATTTCCTTGATTTAAGCACTTAATCACAATAGCATAATATGATTTTCTACTTAGAAACCTACTATGTGATGAAAAGAACTCTCAATGTTTTTTTTCTTCCTAATCGCTCTCACATAAATTGTAATTATATTTTCCACATCTTTAGAGAACCCTAGGACATCTTGTTATAGTGTTGCAGTGATTAACCATACTCCACTACTATCTCCCCTTGTTCCCAAGTGAACATGCTAATACCAGAAAGGATGAGCTCTACTTGGGGTGTTAAGGGGGGAGCCATCCTGTCTTCCCCTGGCAGTGAAAGGGAATGCTGCATCATTGGATGGGTGGTGGCGCTTAGGAAGATCCCTACACCTGAGAACCTGATTAAGAGGATCCAAACCATTGTGAACTGGTGATGCTTGTGCAAAAGGAAAGAGCAGGCTCAGAAGAACTAGCTTGAAAGACTTGAGGGAGTTCCTTCTCTCTTTGGGGTACACTGTGCTATGTCACATGCAGCAACCGACGCATTGACAAACTAGAGAGGTTGCTACTATCTGCTTTGGGTTGAGTATTTGGTGGGAGAGAAGTAGCCAGTCCTTTGATGAGGTTGTGCTTGCTTATTGAGAACCGATTTTGAGCTCTCTTATTCGGATGTAGAGGCCATGCTCAATTTTAAATAGATTCTTCTGTAGGCTCTTTGTGAGATATGACAGTATAGTTTCTATATTGTGTTGTCAGGGGCTTATTTGTTATTACTTATATAATGTTGGGTGCTTATGTGTAATTTCTGAAACTTGTTAGTATTATGTGTTCTGAAACTTGTCAGTATAAATGAATGTGGTGAAAGGATGAAAGTATTCTTTCATTCTTTCTCTCTTTCCCCATCTCTCTCTTTTTCTTTCCTCCTCTTTCTTCTCTTCGTCTTCATCTTCTTATATTTTACTCTTGGTTTGATTATCCCTTAAAATCAACATGGTATCATAGCATAGTTTGTAAAGCTCTAGGTGTGTAGTTGAAACGCTAGGCCAAGTATGTGTAAAACCCGAGTGAATGTGAAGGGTTTTGAAGAGATTCCAAGATGGGATTTGTTTGCAAGGAAGTAGTGTTAATCACATCCACACGTACCACGGATCCAACTGTAAACCCTAGGGCAAGTTTTTGGACCTGTTTTTGATCGATTGCACTCTCAATCAGTGTTTTTTCGCGTTCGCAT